TGGAACATCGCCGGCTCAAAGGCCATGCGATTCGACAAGTCACCATGATTCGCCGCAACAACGGGCAAGCCCGGATCGGCCTTTTATCCAATAAATACATCCCTTCCAGAAGTCGGGATATGCTGCACGTATTAGTTCTAGAATTACCACGGTTATCCGAGTGGTAAGGAGACCACCAAATAAATGATAACTGATTTAATGAGCCATTCGCAGTTTCTTTGTGTTTTTTTTTTAAAACACAACACACTCACAAGCCCCATCTATTCTGGGGGGTATCAGTCCGGTTGCTTATCACCGGCAAGCAAGAAAGACCATTGGACAGAAAAGACCAGATACAGACAGTATGAAGGTTTTGGGAAGTATCATGCTGTGTAAGCATGCAGCACACATGCGTCGGGTTATGGGTAGAGATGAACTCGAGCCATGGTCTGTTTGGTGTGTATACTGCTGGGAGGCACACCGCACCCAGTCGCAAAGTACACGTCAGACCGACCAATGTCCGCTAGATGCCTCCCCTCTCCGTGCCGCGTCCGCTGTGATTGCCGCTTTAAGATTCATCAGCGTCCATGCCTGTAATGTCCTTGCAGATCCTTTGTGTGCAGATGTTAGAAACCGGGCCCGCATAGCCCACATGGCCCCCCAGAAGGCCGCCCAAACCGTCTCCCCCTCGTACGCTTGAGAGCAGGTACGTTCTTCTCCGGACAGGAGCTGTCCCAGCATTACTGACACTCGATGGTTGGTTCGTGTTGGGTGTAGCGGAAGGTGGGTGCCTTGTTCCCCCCACCATTGCCAGAATGCCCTCTGTGGTTCACAGTCCAGCCAGATGTGCGGCACAGTTTCCTCTTGACCGCAAGCTTTGCATTGCGTGTCTTCTGCTGCGCTGTGTGCTGCCATCCACTGAAAGGTGGGCACCGCCAGGTGCAAGGACAGCCACAGTCCTCCCGCATATTTCTGGTCCACAATGAGTGTCAAGAGTGTGCAGGCCGCTTCCCATCCTCTCGCCGTCAAGCCCGGAACTTCTTTAGACTCTATCCACCCTCGTTTCAGCCACCGACCCCTCATTTCCATTGCCATGTCCACCGGAGCATTGAGCGATCTGTAGATGACCTTTGTTGTGACCGGGTGTGGTCGACAGGATTTAGTCTGCATGTTCCTCGCTCGCCATTCCCATGCGGACGGGTCCCAGGAGAGTTGTTGGGGTCGCAATGCAATTTTGAATGGTCGATATACTTCCCCTCCCGAGCACTTCCTATCCTTGACGACCACCACTGCCCGTACGCTGTGCTCGTGCAGCAGTCCGTCCCGATTCGGGTTCCTGCACATCGGTTCACCCACCGGCCCTTCCGAGGGCGCAACCTCCCATCCTTCCACCTGGAACCAGTGGTCGGTCACCCTTGCCACCATTCTGAACAGTACTTTGGGCGCCTCTTCCGCTTCCAGAGCCACCCACTCCCCCCTCACTCTTTCATCGACCTGCATCCTCTGCAGCCACTCTTGTGGGATGGCATCTTGGATCCGCTGCAGCCGTTCTTGCTTATGTGGTTGGTTCCGCAGGACCTGCATCATTTCCTCTCGGGTCTTCCATGTTTTCTTTTCCCGATCCCATATGTCCGCCACCCTGTAGACTCCACAATCGAGCCATTGTCTTCCGAATGCAGCAGGAGCATCACACCAGGGGAGAGGTCGGCCGTCGCAAAGGATCTGACGGTTACCAAATATAGTTTGGCCAAGAATGTGCTCCACTGTGACCGGCGGTAGTTGCCTGAGATTCATCTTTCTCCATTTTGACAGGGTCGGAGTCCACAGTGCCCCTTGCATGAGGCCCGCCTGCAAAGACGGATTCAAGAGGGCAATCTCCACATCCACCGGGTCAACCCTGAGGGCCTGAGCCATGCTTGTCAATGTCAGGATCTTCCATGGCGCTTCATCCTGTTCCATCAACAACCATACGACCGAGCGCATCTGCAGGGCATCGGTCTGCAGATGTGGATCCAGCAGCGCCAACCCTCCCTTCTTCCGTGGTTGTACCAACTTCTCCCAGCGGACGCGGTAGATGAGTTGCTCCGCCAGCGGGTCGTTTTTCCACAGATATTTTCGCACCGCCAGTTTATACTCCCGCCATGCTCTCTTTCCCGGGTCCGACAAAGGTGCAACATACCACAGGGTGGACGAGACAGCGTTGTTGGCCACCAGTGTTTTCCCAAACACCCCCAAATCCACACCCTTGGCCCAACTGTGCATTCTTCTGAGTGCCGCCGCCAGCAAGTTGTGCATTTTCTCCCCAGACGAGAGCGCCGCTGGCAGCAAATTCCCAAGTAAGGAGTATTCTGATCCCCTGGTTGTATTCTCATATGTTCAAACAGCGCCGGGTCTGCCCCCGCAGGGAGGATCACCACGGATTTGTCCCAGTTGATTTTTGCCCCTGCGTACCGCTCAAAAGTATCCACTTGTTTGCGCAGAGCGGTCACACTCTCCTGTGAGCATTCTGTTATTGCCGCTGTGTCATCCGCGAAACTATTCGATTTAATTTGGCGCCCCGTTGGCATAGGGAATCCTCTGATCCGCTCGTCCATCCTGATCATCTCGTGCAGATGTTCCACAAATAGCACATACAGTGCAGGGGACAGGGGGGATCCCTGTCTCACCGACCGAGACACATGCACCAGCTCCGTACGAAAGCCGTTGATCTGCAGCCGCGCCACCGCCGAGGATAGCAAGCGGGCTACAGCATCCCGAAATCTAGGGCCCATTCCCCTCTCCGCCAGCCCTTGTTGCAGAAATCGCCATCTCACTCGGTCATATGCCTTCTCGAAGTCCAGGAGAAGGACAGCAATGGGTGGTATCACTTCGGCAGCTCTATCCAGAATTTCCCGGACTGTTATGACATTTGTCAATATTCGCCACCCCGGGACGAAGCCCGTCTGTGTCGCGTCTATCAGTGTCGGCAACGCACTTGCCAACCGGTTGGCCAAGACTTTAGCATACAGTTTATACGGTGCCGACAATAGCGAAATGGGCCTCCAATTTCGTATCTCCCCCGGTCTCCCTTTTTTGTGCAGCAACACCACCACGGCCACTCCAAAGGCCGGCGGCATCCGAGCCCCATTTGTGAACAAGACATTGAAAACTTTGCAGAGCAGCGGCATAATTGTCTCCCCAACCGCATGGAAGTGGTCCATCGGGACCCCATCCGGGCCCAAGGCTTTGTTTTTCGGTAAGTCCACCAGTGCCCTTGAGATCTCAGTTGGCGTAATGTCTGCTTCCAGCTCCTGAGTTTGATGGTCCGCGAGGCTTGTCTGACAGCAGGACCAGACCGCCGGGCGCTGGGTGTCCGCCATGGCCTGGGGTTCCCACTCCTCCGTTTCCTGATAAAGCCAGGAGTAGAACTGATGAGCATGGTTCAGTATCTGGGGCGTCGTGGTGGCTTGCGGGAGGGATTGGTCGAAGGGGTGATCCAATGTTGACATCACAGCAGCAGTCCTCTGTTTCCGGGTTACCGCAAAAAAGACCGCAGACATTCTCTCCGCTTTCTCCATCCATCTAGATTTCGATGCTAGCCCCCACCGTTCCGCATCTCTTCGTTGCCAGTCTTCCCATTGCGAATGCAACTCCGTCCACTGTGTCCACCAGTCCTCCGCCTCTTCCACGGGCAGGTCCGTTCCCAGCTCCTCCATGTGTCTCACAAACTCCTCCCCGGTCTTAAGGTGTGCCTGTTTAGTAGCCCTGGCTCTGGCCTGCATGATACGATAGAGCTCGGCTAGGCCAAGCTGCAAATGCTCCACTGGCGAGGTTGACGGGCGTCGCAGAGTGTTCCAGTATTCCCAATGTTGACATGCCAGACGAACATGAAGAGGGTCCTTGAACATCCAATGCAGGACGGAGGACGGCGCCGGTCTTGCGTCCACCCCCTGCGACACCAACACTTCCATTATCAGCATTTTATGATCAGACGAGGCGACCGGGAGTATTGATATAGTCACCAGTCGTTCCAGCAATCCCTCCTGCATCCATGCCATATCCAGGCGACTCCTTCTAGTTGGGCCAGAGCCAATCCATGTGTACATCCTCCATCATGAGTTCGGCCATCATTGTTTGCAGAGTTTCCGAGTCCGGTCTTGTGACCCCTGGAAACGGCGAGTCCAGACCTGGACACACCACTGTGTTGAAGTCCCCCCCATAATCATTGTGTTTGTTGTGTCCGGAATATGGGCAGGCAAGAAACGCCAAAACCACTTTCTATCCGTGATGTCCGGAGGGGCATACACTGTCACCACCAGCACTCTTTCTGTGCCCATCTCCACCCAGACCCATGCCCACCTACCCTGCAAATCTGTGAAAAAGTCCAACACTCTACCCTGAAAGTACTTGGTCATTATGACTGCGACCCCCCCCCTTGTTCCCTCAGCCGGTGCCCATGTCTGAAACCCTGTGCCCAGTTCTGGCCTTCTCCCATTTCGTAAGTCCTTTTCACGTAGTTTTGTTTCCTGGAGGCATATCACCTGTAGCCTCTCTCTTTCTACTATCCCCCGAATTTCCTTGGTCTTTCATTTGATCGATCTCGCTCCCAGCCCTCTAGTATTAAGAGAAGCTACTTTCAAACCTTCCCTGGCCATGAGTCGTCGACCCCTCTCCTCTGGGGCTCTTCTAGTTTTCCTATCGCTTCTATGTGGATTTACAACCAATCCACCACACCTATACCCATTCTATGCTCACACTACTGCATCTCGCGTCCCACCTAGTATGCCACGGCGGCCGTGTCACTATCCTACCTTGCTTTCTTTTATTTCCATCTATCGTAAACCCCTTACTAAATCCACCTGTCCACTGCCGCAGCTGTCGCCCGCTTTCTTAGTCTATCCAATCCTACTGAATCGGTTGGTGTTTCTGCAAAGCATTTCTTCTCCTCTGCTCCCCCCCCTATTCTCTCCCCTGTTGCCGTCCAGGTTCATGGCCGCCGCCTGCGATGCACCCTTGAGGATGAGTCCATGGAGGCAGCTACCCTTGACCTTCGCTGCGGTGGTGGTTGCCGCCGTCCTTGCCTTCCTTGTTCGGACCGTCGCACCGTCGGCCCTATGTGCTGAGCACTCCCCCTTGATATTGTTGAGGTCGCCCCTCGGCCGATCTGACAAGAGCGTTGTCGAAACCTTCTCCCAACAATCCACTCACCAACAGCAAGCCAGAACGTGCAGCAAGTGAATTTTTTGTCATCCGGAAGTCATTGGTCTATCCCCCTTAGTACGTGGGTAGGCACTGTGTTTGCCGAAACTCGTCCAGCCGCGAGCCGAGTGTGTTCAAATAGCAGTTTGAAGTTGCTTCATATGAACGGTGGTAAGTGTGATGGGAGAGCCAATTCATAGCGGAAGTCAGCACGTAACAGTACAGGCCCATCAGTGTGTCGTCCTCCGTTTTTTCGACCAGACGAACAGCTGAGATTCCCGGGATTGGTGCGACATCATAGTTTTCTCCTACCTATTCTTTCGCCACTGTTAACAAGCGCTGCTGAGACGGGTGCTCTTCGAACGATGCCATGGCCAGCCGAACTTCAGATCCCGCCGGGCCCTCCATGCTCACCAATATGTCCAGGCCGCTTGTGCTTTGTTTGAAGATAATCAGCACCAAGCGGAGATTGCCTTTACGCTGAAGATCGTCAAAGGCCCCGTCTAGAAAGACCATCCGCATTTGGCTGTAGGTCCGCGCCTGTTCCAGCGAGCCGACGTTACGGCCTTCTGTTTGTTGCCCCGGCTCTTCTTCCCTGTTCTCACCATCCCCCATGCCACCCGGGGCAGGTGAGTTCAACCGGATCCCTCTCCTTGGGAGTATTGGGGAATTCGGGCAAAGGCGTCCCCCTATAGGCAAAGGCTGCGGCGGTGGTGGTGACAAGTTCCCCTGTCGCCTTTCCACCTCCCCACAGCTGGCGATTGCAGTATGCCGACTGGACTGTTCTTGTTCGGCCGGTCCTCCTCGGGATGGGGCTCCCAGTATCGATAGCGGCGCCTGAGGAATTAACCGCACCTCCTTCTGCAGCAATCCTCTTCTCTCCGCTCTCGCCGTTTTCTTGTGTGGGGGTCTATCCTCGTCACTTGAAGATGTCTCGATCATTGGTTGCTTCCCTTTGTCCTTCCGCCCATCCTTCGCCTGTTGCTCTCTGCGGGACCTTGTTTTCCGTCGAGCTCGAGGTCGCTTTCCCAGTGCCCCCTGTTTTCCAACACTCATGTCCCCCTGTTTCCCGACATTCACGTCCCATCTTCCACCTTCCACTTCTTCTTGTGCTTCGAGCACCCCCTTTCCACCGTCCTGATTTCTAGCCTGGCCTCGTCCCTCCACCGCACAATCGAGGGATGCTGCTGCCATTCCCCCGAATGGGCCACCGTGCGGTCCGTTGCCGATTCCCCTTCCAGCCAGCGGCTCGTCGCATATGCGAGTCGAAGCGGTACGCAGCTCAATTGCTGGCTTGATTAACGGAAGTGTCATTGTAAGTGCCGCAGCGCATAGCCCCCCTTCTTGGGTGCCCATTTTGTTTTGACCAGATGGCTGAGCTTGGGGGAACGTCATTGCGAGTGTGGCAGCACAGAAGCCTCGAAACCCCAGCCCAATTCGACATTGAGGATGTCTCCCTTCAATAGACCATGAGGCCGACCCTCACCATGATTCTTCAGGCGGGTGCCTGGCGCGCCATAGAGCATCCCATTGTTCATCCACATCTGAGGTCCACGTCGATCGCGTCACGGGGCATCTGTCCATGTCTTCAATCCATGCTAACAGTCCCCGCCGACCCACACTGTCTTCTTCGTAGTCGGCTCCGTCCTTGCTCCCCGCGGTGACAATCCCTGCCGTGTCAACTTCCTTCATGAACGCCTCCGACCCGTCGGCACCGGGCCCTCCTGTTCCCAGCACCCTCACCTCATTGGGCGCGCTCAACGCCTTTTCCTGTGCAGTCTCTCCGGCCACCTGCTGCCCAGCCCTCCTCCTCGTATATTCCACCCTATCTTGTGCCTGTTCGTTCATGTCTGACGACAATCTAGCTATACTTGCCATATGAACCAATTCTTGTGTCTCAGCAGCCTGTGGCACTTCCCGACCGTTGTCAATAGGGTCCATGGCCCTCGGTGAGCGTCCCACACCCAAGTATTGATCCATCTCCGCTGCTTCAACCAGCACTCCTCGCATGGGGTCGTGCTCGATAGTCAGGCGCCAGTCGACGCTGTTAGCAGTTGGTAGGTCACTAAGTGGCGGTGTTGGACCCGACACTCCCTGCCTTGGGTTCTGCAACCCCGCTGCTAGCACCGGCGTAGCAACGGCGGCCAGTTGAGTCGCCACTCCCTGCATAGGGTCTTGCAACTCCGGGTGAGGACCGTCAGCGGACGACAACTCCCTTTCCACGCGTCCTGCCTGATCATTCTGTGGTCGGGCCGGTGCCGATGTTGTTCCCGTCGCTTCCTGCATCGGGTCCTGCAGCTCCAACCGAGCGCACTCTTCAACAGGCGACCCCTATTCCACGGCTCCCGGCACACCGCCTCGGTCCTTTCCCCAGGTGTCCTTTGGGTTGCCACTCCGACCTTGTCCGCCGGTCCTTCTCTCGTCGCCCTCACTCCCGATGTCGCCTCCCTGGCCCTCCCCCTGTTCTTCTGTCCTTTCTTCCCGTGCCTGTTCCTGTCTTTCATTCATGGGGGTATCCCCTTCTGCATCGATGTTCAGGTGCCGGTGGTGGTCTCCGTCCTTTTCTCCGCTCTCCTCCCCTCCTTTCTCCCCCATTTCTCTTCGCACCCCCTGTACCAGTCCCTCCGTTATATCATCCCCGGTGATCCCCTCTGCGCCCTCACTCCCGATACTCTTCTTTTGTTCCCGCTATTGGTCCTTCGCGGGTGAGGCCATCACCTCACCTAGACTTTCCTCAAGCAGCAGTTCCGCACTAATGACTTTGTCGAATCTTTGCTCAAAGCACGCCCATCCTTCCACTTCAGCCCCAACATCCCATGGCCTACCCGGGTCGTCCCTCAGTTTCGCCTCCAGTCGGACCAGCTCCCTCTTTGTCCCTTCCAGAGATAAGCACCCTGCCACCCCGGCCAGCTGGCCGTGGCGGTGACAATACTCACACCATGGGGTCTCGCTAGTGAGATATCTTACCTGCGGTCGGCCGTGGCAGTTCAAATTCAGCGTCAAGCATTGCAGACCAATGTGCCTCAAAGGTGGCTGCAGGTTGAAGCGGATCTCCTCCCTTCCTGCCGCGTCTATGGTCTGGACCCCTTCCCCATTTATCACTTCCCCGAAAGCGCCATCCGCCGCCGCACGCAGGAACGGGCGCACCATGGGTGAAGGGTGTATAAACTTAACCCATGGATGATCTTTGCGGTCCATGAGACGGTCCCATTGTAGTTCAACGGGACTCTTCCATGCTTCAAAACTGGCCTCATACTCTCGATCGTCAACGATCACCACCTCTTTCAACCTTGTCTGTAGCAGCCAGTTGCGGAGAAAGGCTGTGGGCGCCCAGTATATGGCTCTCCCTTTCCCTTCAACCGTCGTTCTCCCTTGGAATCTTCCTCTCCCTATATTGGGCCAACCCTCCTCCCAGGTCTTAACCAGCTCCACCTTTTTGGTTGCCGAGAATTCTCCAAGGGCTCCAACAAAACGGACGATCAGCACGTGCGCCCGCAGGTATGCAACGTGCGAGGTCAGCGGTCGCTCATTCACTTTAACTATAGCAGACCCACCAGGCGTGGTGCTCCGCTAGTGACGGAGATGGAGATGGAGGAAGAAGGGGGAGCAAGATGGCACAACGCAGCTCCCCACGCAAGACTCCAACGCACGTACTCCAAAATGTGCAAGTGAGGAATGAGCCTGAAAACAGACAATGGCTGGGGTATACCCCAGCGGACTGACGGGACTGGACTGGACTGGCTGGTACCGACAGAGGTACCGGCCTGGACTGGCCTACCCCAAATATAACACAGGCCT